ATTCTGTTTTGGTCATACATTACCTGGAATATTGTGTCCAACCAAGATGGTCAAAAGTCTGGAAACCAAGCCCTATGATGAACAGCTAAAGCGTTGAGCAAAGTGGGCTTTTAGTATCTGCTGGAGTTTGGTTCTAGGACTCTTGTGGATAGCAAAATCTGTGGATGCTCAAGTCCCATTATATACAATGGCATCAAAAATGGGGGATCCTTTATAAAAAAAAAATGGCAAAATCATGGTTTGCTTTTTGGGATTCATATTTTTAGAAAATATTTTCAATTTGTGGATGCTTGAGTCCGTGGATAAAAAAACCCCTGAGGATATAGATTCCTGACTGTATTGGAGAAGAGAAGTCTGAGCAGTGATATAATGTTGTTGTTGTTGTTGTTGTGTGCCTTTGCTGTTGTTTTCATTCAGAGACATAAATATATACAAGTCTGGAATTTCAGTATGGGAAGGGGATCTTGTAGCACCCTTGTTGTGGTTGTGTGCTTTCAGGTCATTTCTAATTTATGGCAAGCCTAAGGTGAACCTATCATGGGGCTTTTGTGGGAAGATTTGTTCAGAGAGTCTTTGCCTTTGCCTTCCTCTGAGGCTGAGAGAGTGTGACTTGCCCAAGGTCACCCAGTGGGTTTCATGGCCGAGCTGGGAATCGAACCCTGGTCTCCGGAGTCGTCATCCCACACTCAAAACGCTATGCCACGCTGGCTCACAGAATGGAAAGAGTCATGGAAGATTGTTTAGTAATGGAAAGAGCGCCTTATCTTGAGAATGTCTGCCTCGCTGTCAGATTAGTGGATGCAAAACAAAATAGTCTTGCAGGGTTTATCTTCATCCCTCCACCCTCAGCAGCAATCTGACAGGTTCCACCTTCCGTACCATTAGTCTTGCAGAATGATCTGGCATTATCTCTTTTCCTTAGGCGAGAAGAAAAGGATGCTTCCTTTCTATAGTTCTTAGAATCACAGAGTCAGAAGGGACCACAAGGGTCAACTAGACCAACCCCACTAAAGGACAGCACTCCTAAAAGATGGCTGGATTTGGCATTGAGGGCCACAAGGTAGGGACGGTCGCTGTCACACAGGACTCTCCTTTTGGACGTTAAGTTGTTATTGTTGTTCACCACTCTTGAGTCGATCTCTCAACCCATGGCAACCCTATGGATGAAACATCTCCAAAACTCCCTGTTCTCCACTGCTCTGCTCAGGTCCTGCAAAGTCATACCTCCTTAATAGAGTCCATTCATCTAGCATGTGGCATTTCTCTCTTTCTATTTCCCTCCACCTTTCCTAGCATTATTGTTTTTTCCAATGATTCGTGCCTTCTCATGATGTGTCCAAAATACGACAGCCTCAGTTTTGTCATCCTGACGTCTAGAGAGATTTTGGGCTTGATCTGCTCTAGGACCCCTTTGTTTGTCCTTTTGGCTGTCCATAGGACCCTCAGAACTCTTTTCTAGCTGCACATTATCTCAAATGAACTCATTTTCCTCCTATCTTCTTCCTTAACTGTCCAGCTCTCACATCTATACATTGTAATGGGGAATACAACAACTTGTATGATTCTACCTTTCGGGCTCAGTTGTATATCTTTGCATTTTAGGATCTTTTTAGTTCTTTCATAGCCACCCTCCCCATTCTTAGTCTTCTTCTGATTTTGTGACTGCAGTCCCAATTCTGGTAAATGTTTAATCCCATTACTATTTCCATTTCTTCATTGTCTAAATTGAGTTTGTCTAGATTCTCCGTGCTCATTTTTGTTTTCTTTATGTTCAGCAGTAGTCCTGCCTTTGCACTTTCTTCTTGGATCTTCCTTAGTAGTTGTTCCAGGTCTGTGAGGTTTTCTGCTAGTATTATGGTGTCATCTGCATATCTTAGGTTGTTGATATTTGTTCCTCCCATTTTCACTCCTTCTTCTGTGTCCAAGCCTGCTTTCCTTACAGTATATTCTGCAAAAAACGTTGAACAGGTGGAGACATTAAATACCATTCAGAAAGCATCTGGGGAAAGCCATGATGGCTTGTTGGTGGCTTCTATGTCTGGAGGGGCAATGAATCCATTCCAGGAAACATACAAGGAGGAAGAGAGAAAGCTGTGTGTTTGTGTATGTGGAGACAATAGAATTATATTATTTATTCCCTACGTGTGTATGGCCGCATCCGCACTGCAGAAATAATTGAGTTTGGCACCACTTTTAACTGCCATGGCTCCATGCTATGGAATTTGGGGAACTGTAATTTTGTGAAGCGTTTAGCCTTCTCTATCAGAGAGCTCTGGTGCCACAACAAACTACAGTTCCCAGTATTCTATAGCATGGAGCCATGGCTCTTCAAGTTGTGCCAAACTGGATTATTTCTGCAGTATGGATGCAGCCTTGCATCGCCTTTCCTGCAATGAGCACAAGTCAGCATCCATAGCATTCCTCCTAGGATTCTTCCCTAGCCCTGTGCAGAGATCCCTGTTGGGCTTCCATCCAAGTCCTAACCAGGTCTGAGCCTGCTTAGCTGCCAAAATCAGAAGCAACCAGGTGTGTTCGGTCCAAATATCTCATATCTTTCTATGGCTGAGCTATGAAGAGCTGGTGGCCCATGTTTCTGATGGTGATGTGACCTATGATGGTCATCAAGAAACTTCAACACACATCTTCCAAAAAGTTGTATGTAGTTTTTATAAAGCTTTGGTTATTGGTTGGCACAGAGTCATAGAAACATAGAGTTGGAAGGGACCCCCAAGGACCATGCAGTCCAGCCCCATTCTGCCATGCAGGAATACATGGAGGACAAAATAACTCCTGAAATACACTCATCCAACCACTCTTTGATTCCACTGTCAAACAGCAATTCCGAGGTTGAGTTTCTCTTATCCAAAATGGTTGGGACCAGAAGTGTTTTGGATTTTGGATTTCCCCCCCTAGATTTTGGAATATGTGCATATAGATAATGAGATATCGTAGAGATGGAACCCAAGTCTAACCACAAAATTCATTTTTGTTTCATATACACCTTCTACACATAGCCTGAAGGTAAGCGTATACAATGAGAGCCAGTGTGGCATGGTGGTTTGAGTGCTAACTTTGGAGACCAGGGTTTGATTCCCAGCTCAGCCATGAAACCCACTGGGTGACCTTGGGCAAGTCACACTCTCTCAGCCTCAGGGGAAGAAGCAGTGGCAAACCTCCTCTGAACAAATTTTGCCAAAAAAAACCTCGCGATAGGTTCGCTTTGGGGTTGCCATAAGTCAGAAACGACTTGAAGGTACACAACAACACCACAGTATTTTTAAAATACTTTTGTGCACGAAACAAAGTTCGTGTACATTAAACCAGCAGAAAGCAAAGGTGTCACTCTCTCAGCCACCCCTATGGACAATTTTGGAATAATATGAATTTCTTTATTCAAGAAATGCGTGACTCAACCTGTACGGTAAAGAAACAGTTCTTTCTAATGTTTTAAGTCAAACCTTATTTTCTTTTCTTGTAAGGGTAGAGATGAAAATAGCAAGTGAACAGACCAAGATATGAATATTCATGGGTGTGATTTTTAAAATAAAATGGCCATTTGGGAAGAGTGACACAGAGACAGATGTTCATTTCTGAGGAATGCATGTCTATCATTTCTACCAAGGAGTGGAACTGGTCTTTCAGCTTTATTTTTCACTCATAGCTCTTTTGCAGGCTTTCAGGTCCAGCATTGCTGGGAGAAAGGAGGAAAAAGGACACAGAAATGGACATGCATATGAATAGGGTGATTAAAACAAAGCAAAGGCAAAAAAACAACTGCAAAAGATGAAAACTTGATTGCTTAAAAAAAAGGGTGTTGTCATAAAACCGATGCTGGAGGAAAATGAAGAGGTCACAGGCTTTAAAACTTGGAAGAGATTTTGGAAATAATCCAATTTGAGACTGCTTTAACTGCCCTGGCTCAATGCTAAGAAATCCTGGAAATTGTAGTTTATTGTGGCACCAAAGCTCTCTGACAGAGAAGGCTAAACATCTCACAAAATATCTACAATTCCCAGGATTTCCTAGCATTGAGCCAGGGCAGTTAAAAGTGGTCTCAAACTGGATAATTTCTGCAGTGTAGTTTTGGACCTATAACCCCAAGAAACCTCAGGTAGCTGTGCGGATGGGGATGGAGGACTGGGGGATTCTGAGAGTTGTAGTCCCCCAAAAAGTAACCTTCCCATGCTCTCCAAATGGCAAACCACCCTCCCATGATTTTGGGAATTGTAGTCCCCAAAAGTAACTTTGTAGAGCTCTTGAAATTGGCCTTCCCAGGTTCGTGCCTAGGTTCACAGAGCAGCTATTTAGTGAGAAGCTGGAGATTGGCGGTAGCATCTCACCCTTCAAATCCATCACTCAGATGTCTATGGAGGACCACCTCTCAATATTGCACCTCATCAGTAGCATCCGTCTGCTTCTGCTGGAAAAGGGAACGCCCCACTCTTTCCTTGCTTGCTTTTGCCATAAATAGGTGGTGCCAGGCACTGCTGCAGTAAATGGGGGAGTAATGGTGCCAATGGGAAAAGTTTTGGAAGGAGATGGCAAGTGCCACGGACAGCTTTCAGACCGACCAGTTGCTACAGTCACTCGGAGACACATCTATGGATTTTTGCATGCACCAATTCTGTGCATATAGTTACAGAAGATTGCATCTTGTTGCATTGTGCATGCTTTCCTATGAGTAATCTTATGGGAACTCGGTAGGACTTTTGTTGTTGTATGCTGCAGCTAAAAAGGCCAATGCCATTCTAGGCTGCATCAATAGAAGTATAGTAAGTATAGTGTATAGATCAAGGGAAATAATAGCATCACTCTATTCTGCTTTGGGTCAGGCCTCACCTGGAATCCTGTGTCCAGTTCTGGGCACCACAATT